AGTTTACTGCCTATGTTTTCTTCTAGGAGTTTTATGGTTTAGGGTCTTACATTTAAGTCTTTAATCCATTTGAGTTTATTTTTGTATTTGGTGTAAGAAGGTGGTCCAGCTTCATTTTTTTGCATGTATCCGTCCAGTTTTCCAACACCATTTACTGAATAGACTGACTGTCTTTGCACCCCATTGTATAGTGTTGCCTCCTTTGGATTATTCTAGTTTTAATTTTTTGAATTCTAGGACAAAGTCATGTGAGTATTAATAAAGACAGGTTTATTTCCCATAGATTATCAGTTTTATTAATTTTGTATATATTCTAGTATTTTTTTGTCAGGCAAAGATTAAACACACATATTTATGCTCCCCACCCCACCTTTCCTAAAGGTGCCTTTGCTTAAAATGAAGTTTTTAGTTGATGTGTAGTAAAATTTTCCCACCTCTTCCTTAATGTCTTCTGTATTTTAAATATTTTTTCTTTTTAAAGAAAGTCTGCCTGTGTACATTCTATATGTTTCTAAATGTTTATTTTTTTGGTGCTAATATTTAGCTCTTTCTCTACTTATCCTAATCATATGGCAGAAGAGAGAGTGACCATCTGTACTTATGGTGTTAGGGAATGAATCTAAGAGCTTCTTAGGGGAACCCTAGCTAGCCTCAAAAGGGAACTTGGCAGCAGTAGGACTGCCATCATTTGGGCTGAGATCCTGGACAGGGTGTCTGAGTTGCTTCTGATGGTGGTAAAGATCCTAATACCACCTGCCTTTTAGGACCACATGAGTGGAGGACTTCAGCTTGGGACCATCAGGAGACACAAATGTACCTCTCTGATAAGGCTGTGTGGCATACATGTATAAAAAAGAAAGGTGGGAGGTTATCTTTACAGAGTCATTGTGAGTCCTGGAGCTCTTCCTAGACTAAGAAGGACTCAGTTTGATCCCACCCCCCACCCCGCCCAAAAAACAAAACTAACTCAGACTACAGGAACATAGGGGATAAAACAGCTGGAACCCTGGGCCAGTGGATTAGGAGCTGAGTTCTGAATGCCCCAGTTAGTCTGGAAGGAGACATTCTGAGGCTCTTTCTCCACAGGCATTATGCTGTTTCTTCTCTCTGACTCAGGCTCCAAGTGACAGAGGTTGATACAAGACATGGGGTTTGTACCTGAGGTTCAGGGGTGGGAGGAAAGTGTAAATTGTCACATAAGGGAGAGTGGCAGGGGACAGACTTAAGGGCCTACAGGCTGGAAAGGAATGAGATAAAAAAATCCAGGGAACCTCCATAGACTGAGACTCCATATTTGTTGAAGAGGAGGCTGTGAGAGGGCAGGATCCCTGCTGAGGAGGCACAAACTTAGGGCCTTACAGTAAAGGTCCTGGCAGTGTCAAATTGCCTCTCCACTCCACAGGTCCTGCAGGGCTTCATGGAAACAAGGTGGGCTTTTATAAGGAAGAAAGTTTGGAGAAGTCACCCCAGGCAGCAGAACTCGATCTCGAGATGAAATAACTTCTACCTGGCCTTCTGGCAGAATTTCAAGGCAAACACTGGGCTGACCCTGAGACCACGACGTTGCTTAATCCTTCTATTTGGGGAGAGCAGGACTGGGAGGAGATTTTGCCTTTGGAGAACAGGGAAGATATGGAGACCATGAAGAAATTCACCCAAAATCATGTGGCAAAAGGTGAGAGTTGTCGAGGGTAGGGAAGGTGAAGAGGGGGAGCAAGGCTCCAGGTTCAGCTGAGAATGCTCTAGCGACCATAGCTGAGTAAAGGGACCACTTACTCCATTACAAGGCTTAGAGGACCTGCTCTGGGAGTATTATGGGAGGCCTGGTTTCTCACAGCTTCTTTTTCTTCTCCTAGGTTTGGCTTCTAACGATACTGACTGGCTCCAAGCAAAGGAGGGAAAGCCTAAAATGCCAGTGAGTTGGGGTTACTTTTTTTGTTGTTGTTCTGAAATGCTGGTTCATTTTCCAGAGACTAGGTATACTGTATGTTCATCTGCCATGGCCAGTCTTGGGAAGAGAAAAGACAATCAACAAGTCCATGCCTGTGTCAGGCACTGTGTTGGTCACTTCATAATGATTTCTGCATTTGTTTATTTTATTTTGTTGAAAATATACCCAAGATTAATAGTAAGAGTCCAGGAAACTTTAAAACATAAGGGATATTTTTGAAAAACAGATTACTAAAAATCTTAAATGTGCTATTAAATTAATTTCATTTCATATCCACACTAATAATATTTTGCACTGGATTTTTTTTTTTTTAACTATTGGAATGTTTGAACCTATATAGAAGTGGAAAGCATAGTAATAATAGGGCCTTAGATACCATCATCCAGCTTCACCACCAGTCATCTGCCATGGCCAGTCTTGTTTCCTTTCTACCTCTCCCGTGTCCCTCACTGGATTATTTTAGACAAATCTCAGCCATCATAACATTTTCTCCATAATTCTTAAAAATAGCTGTAAGAGGGTGGTGGTAGTGGTAATACTGTTTATTCCAGAGAGAGAAAGTCTGGCCTAGGGGGGTTTGTGATTTGTGCATGGCCACACTCATCTAGTCAGTGGTAGAGCTAGGATTTCAACCCCATTTTCTCTGACTCTCAAGCTCCTGCATCTTCTAGTGTATTGCCTTCAAGACTCTGCCACATAAATCCCCATCTAAAAATGTAGGAGCATATTTTTCAGTTCTAAGGAATGGGCCTGCATTATATAATGAATGACTCATACAGAATACTCTCTCTAGATACAATGCTTCACACCCCCCATTCTCTTCTTTACCAGAAATTTGATGTATTCTTTTATATGAGGTGTGCGTGTGAGATTCTGCAAGCCAAACCAATAGGTTTATAAGTAGACTATCAAGGAGCCTACAAGTTCTTTGGAAAAATAATGTGTAAAAACAAGAAATGATGGCAATAATAGTAATTTTTACTATAACGATTGAATTGGTTACATAATTGTGCAGTAAAAGCTATTACAAAGTGCTGGCCTAACGCTTTCAAAGCAATGTCCAGTCACTCACAGTTTATTGATAATTAAACTCAGTGATACAGCAGGACAGGGCACATTCCTTGAGTGGTGGCGTTGGGGGGCAGGGGGAGGGGTAGGGGCGGAGCTCAAGCCCTGCACTGAGAGAGAAAAGGGTTCTTTGCTGAGCCCAAGAAAGAATTCAAACGCCTGCTAAAGTTAGAGCCAAAAGGAAAGTTTATTAGAGAAGGGAAAAAGCAAAACGAGAAAGTAAGGACAAAAAGCCAAGACAAGAAAAAAAGCCCCCATGTTGGGTAATCCAGTTTATATATCACTTAGTTTTTCTGTGAATCACAGCTCAAAGACTTTTGTTTACCCATTTTCCTTTGACGTGGACATACAGTGAGAAAGGATAAGAGTATCTAGCATGTAAAGGTACAAATGTGTTGGGTGAAAGGGCTGCTGGTAGTTCCTAGCCTTCGATCCATAGGTTCCCCATGATTTTAGCCGTAGGGAATGAATGATTTCGTGTATGTAGGGCAGCTGCTTAAAGACTTTGTTTTTCCTGTTTCCCCTGCACAGATGTGAGAAATGGGTTGTCAGCAATCCCAGCAGAAATCTCCTTTTGTTCTGCAGGTGTCTTCCTGGCCTGGCTGCAAGGCTGATCAGCATATTGCAGTCTCTGAATGTAGCTTGATTTAGTTAACTTGCCTCCTCACTAGTTAAAGATTCCATTCCTGGGGGAGGCCGAAACTATAATTAAGTCACTGTTTTCCCTCTTTTCCCTTCACAATGTGGGAAAATGGGTTAGTAATACCAGGAAAAAAATCTTCCTTTGTTCTGCAGGTTTCCTAGTGGTCTGCTATAGGGCTGATAAGCATATTGCAATCTCTGAATAAGCTTGATTTAACATTTTTGTTCTCTTGCCTTCTCCCTACATTAATAGGACATAGGACAAGTATTTCTGGAATGGTGATGTGAGGAGCTCCACAGACTGTCTCCCCAGTAAAACCACCAAAATGATTTTAAAAACCTATAAAACCCAGCCATTTAAAGCCTCTGGATACTGTCCTAAGGGCATATATACAAATGGAGAAACATTTCAAGAAAACTCTCAGTGAGAACGGCAAGAGTCCATGGCATTTGGCTACCAACCTGCTCCCTTGTGCCCACTCTTCAGCTCAGCGTAATGGAAGCTCTACTCTGCGTGGGTATAGTTGAGAAGGGGGCTCGTTCTCCCAGTTCCCAATCTAGGACTATACTTTTCCCCCGGGAGAGGCAGGCCACCTCATTCATTACTCCTAGCTCAGTGTTGCAGGCAAGCTAGTCAAGAGACCTAGGGCTTTCTTCCTCCTCCACCCCCTGTCTGTAGGAGAGAAGCTCTGTCTTTGGCACAGGAGGGGCCTGATTGCCTTCTCCCCAGCTTGCTCATAGGGCAGAGATTCCCTGCCAGGAGGGGAAAGCTGAGAAGAAACAAACTGCCACTCCCGCCCAGTGCCCTGCTCTTAGCAGGAGTGTCACTGAGAGAAGTGGTTGCTCATCCTGCTCCTAGCTTTGAGCAGTGGTGCAGAGGTCCTGCCTGGGGGAGAGGCACGTTGGAAGAACAGAGACCAGCATAGTGCTCCCTAAGGGCACTGGCTTTATTTAAAACTGAGCATAGGGAAGTTGAAGCCTAAGGGTGCTTTTAAAAACAATGGAGATTTTGGTGGTGAGTAATGAAGAGGAAGCTGGCAGGTCGGTGATAGCAACAAGCAAAATGGCAGATCAGCTAAAAGTTTAACAGAGGAGCACAAAGGAAAGAGATAGCTGAGAAGAACCCTCCTAGGGTCTCAAATACTGGCTTTAAAACTACCCCTGTAAAAGGGCCTGCCTTTAATTGGATCGGACTCTGGAGCCATTTGTAACCCCAAGACATTGTTGAATATAATAGAGCAGTCAGCTAGTGATTAGTGGAGGCTAATAGCTGGGTGTGATGTGAATAGAGGCAGACCATCTGGAACCTTAGGAACCTTAAGAGGGAGATCAGGGAAGGACACTAAGAGCCCTGCTAAAAGGACTGTCATTTCTGGAGGGGGGAGGGTCAGAGTGACTGTTTGCGCACTCAAGGCTGCATCCACTAAGCCACATCTTCAGGGGAATAGCCTTTTTTGAACTAGTCCAGATAAGTCACAGAACATTGGACAAGCATTCACAGCAACAGCCTGGGGAGGGGGCACAGTTTATTTTTATTTTTACATAAGATGTCCAGTATTCAACAAAAAAATTATATAGGTAGGTAGATAGGGAAATAGAGAGGCAGGGAGAGAAAGAGAAAGAATATATGAATACGAGAATGAGTGAAAGCCTAAAATTTTCCTGGTTTTTAAAAACACCTTTTCAGTTCTCTGTGTTAAATTATCTCACTGGATTGTAAATTCATCTTCCCTTTATTGGTTAGGAGTTGTTCATTGGATGATGCACTCTGAACACAAAGTTTCTTTTAATAGAAGTTCTCCAGCTCATTCTCAATTCTTCCATTACAAAACCTCAGGGTCATTTTGCAGAGCACTGTTTGAGGTTTTCAAATTGATTCACGAATCATTTTATTGCAGGAAGCGACACCCGATGGAGGAATTTGGACACGCAGACAACTTTGTTAGAGGAAGGAGAATTTATTGGCCGGCGGAGCATGTGGGGTTAACAACACCATGCACGAGCTCCCCTTGGTTAGATTTTTTACAGTTTATATACCCTTGTCCATGCAAGTGGTGTGTGATTCCTTTGTCTGAGGTTTCACTTGTGTTTCATGACTCAGGATGGGGAGGAGGAGCTTCGGGTGGGGAGCAAGGGGATAGGAATTTCCAGACTATCGGTCTTATCTATTTACCGGTCATTTTGCCTTGTAGAACCCACGACCTTGGCATTGTCAGCACTGTTATAGAATTTTCGGAGAGAGGGGACACCAAGGCTATAAGCAGAAAGTAGCACTTATTGATGCTGGCACCAGCTCAGCAGATTCCTATCCAAAGGCTGAGCCCCGATTGTAACATAGCAAGCAGTTTTACACGGTCTTGTTATTCCTACACAGCTACAGCGATAAGGAAGAGCATTAGTTGGATAGCAAGCTATGAATCAACAGATGAGAGTCCTTGAGGTTGGGGAGGTTGCTATGGGAAAACATGTTAGCTAGAGAGTCCTGGGTGGGGAGAGGGCGGTCAGGAATGGATTTTAACTGGCTCAGTTGGTCATTTCTGCAAGCCTTTTCCTTTGCATTTTTCAGATGCCTCTTCTCCTCTCTTAATTTCTCTAATGAAATCATAAGTGTTGTATACATCAGTTATGCTCCCCTCAGATTTTAACACAAAGCCATGGTGATGCCCAGAAGAATTTGATACAGAGAACTGTGTACTCTGAAAGAACTAGACCAACTTCTTGTATATCCAGATTCTCCAGGGCCACCAGGTATGCTCTCCTTCCACTGGGAAAATTGATGGTGACTTGCTATCCAGTAATTGGCTGCTTGTTTACAGGTGCCCGTTATATTCAGGGATGTGGCTATAGTCTTCACAGAGGCAGAATGGAAGAGACTGAGCTCTGAGCAGAGAAACCTATACAAAGAAGTGATGTGTGAGAATTACAGGAATCTTCTCTCATTGCGGGAGGTTGTGTTCTTCATTAATTCAGTAGAGATTTATTGACTACCTACTATGTGCCAGAAAATGTTCTAAACACCTAGAAGAACCTATTAGTAAATGAAATAGTAACCATTGTCCATGGATGCTTACTTTTTCTAGTGTGTGGAGACAGACAACATACAAAAAGCTTCATATACAGGGATATTATGACATGATATGGTGTTTTAGAAGCACTACCCAGTAAAAAATAATTAAAAACTGGAGCAAGATAAAGGAGTATTGAGTGTAAGAGGGTGGCTGGCTGAATTTTGAAACTGGGTATTTGAAATCAGTGAGGAGGTAACATTTGACCAAGGATATAATGTGGTGAGGGAGTTAGAGCTCTGGGTACCTAGGGTAAGTGCATTCGGGTAGAGGGACTATTGGTGCTCTGACCTTAAGGAAGGGATATGCCTACTGGGTAGAAGGAATTGCAAGGAGGCCAGTGAGAACTGAAGCACAGTTTGCAAGGAAGAGAGTAGTGAGAAATGTCTTCTGTGACAAGTTAAAATTAAATGTCAGCGTTTGTAGGGCTTTTGGGTTCCATCGGCCATATTTTTTTGTCATTGATTTAAAAATGTACATTGATTCTTTAAATCTAGGTTGATAGATACTTTTGATTGCAGCTTTACTCTGATTCAGGGGTTCGGCACCTTTTTCTATAAAGGACCAGATAGTAACTATTTTCGGTTTTGTAGGTGATATGGTCTCTCTAACCACACTCACTTCTGCTCTTGTAGCGCTAAAGTATTCACAGACAATACGTAAATCAATGAGCGTAGCTGTATTTCAATCAGACTTTATTTGTGGACACTGAATTTTGAATTTCATATAATTTTTATGTATCACGAAATATTATTCTTTTGACTTGTTTCCAACTCTAAAATTTTAAAACCATTTTTAGCTTGTAGACTGCAATAGGAGGCCAGATTTAGCTTGTAGACCTTAGTTTTTGCACCCCTTGTTCTAGATCAGTGCCATCCAATGGAAATACAATGTGAATCACATGGGTAATTTTAAATTTCCTAGTGACCACATTAAAAAAGTAGAAGTAAATGTCACCGGTGAAATTAAAATATCGTATTTAACCCAGTATATCAAAATATTATCATTTCATCATGTAAGCAATATAAAAAATTAATGAGATATTTTACTTTTTTTGTACTAAGTGTTCAAAATCTAGTGTGTGTTTTATACTTGTAGCACATCTTAGTTCAGAGGAGCTACATTTCAAGCACTCAAACGTGTATGGCTAGTGGCTACCAGATCAGATAATGCAGTTCTGGCTATTCCTATATTTCTAGATAAAGCATGTAGAGAAGACTCACAGTTTTGGAGACAGAAACTAGTTTCAAGCAGGAGTTTCTTCAGGATTTTTTTTTTTCAAATGGCATGGCTGTTTCCCTGATACCAATTAATCAGATTTTCCTGGTTCCATTTTCACCTTCTTTGATGTGTTTTGATCTGACTCCATCTAGTTTGAGCTCCATCTAATTAAATGTTGATTTGGCCTTAGCTAGTCAATCTTAATTAGATTTTGTTTTTCTTATTTTCCTCCGGTCATATTTTCCTTTCTTTATGTTAATTCATTGAATGGGTTCAGAAGAAAATGTTAAAGTGACCTAGTTCAAATTAGTCTCAGTATGGAAAGCTTTGATCCAAGTTGCATTTCTTGACATTGTTTTCTTTGTCTTGCTTGACACCACAATATTCTGTAGCTCCCCAGCCTCTCATGTCTCTCTTTTCAACTTTTGTCTTTTTCCCTTTTCTTTGGATTGTAGAGATCCATAGGACTAATGTCACAAACTCTTTTTTTTTTTCTGGGTCTACGTTAACATCCTTAAACAATTTGTGAACTGTAATGATTTGCCCATAACATATTATGATAAACCCATATTATCTGTCACTCCGTCACCTGTGCTTTATCCTCACATTTCTGTTTGGTTATGAGAGAGCACAAGTTTATTCTCAATCTTACCAAAAATTGAGATCATACAATTTGCCCTCTAAACCAGTCTCTTTTCTCTAATTCTCCGCAAATTCATGTTACGAAGTCTCTTCTTCAAGGGTACTATTAGAAACAAATGGGCTGATATCCCCTGAAATAATCTTTAAAGCCTTCGTAGGGGCAATATTTCAGTTAGCATAGGCTAGTAATGCTGTAGTAAGACACAGCACCGAAATTTGGTGGCTTATAACAGCAAATGTTTATTTCTTACTTATATTACTTCTTTTCTACAGTTTGGATGGTGTTCTGGAATCCAGGCAAAAGGACTAGCCTCTGTGCGGGTCATGGGATTCTTACAGAAGAAGGAGAAAGAGTAATGAAGGAACCACATTGTGGTTCTTAAAACTTGTTTGAAAGTAGCGCTAACTTTTCACCAACGTTCGGTGGCTAAAGCAAATCCCATAGCCAAGTCTGATGTCATTGTGATGAGATTGGTTTGGGCACAAGGTGCCAGAATCCTTTCTTGTCCACTGCTGAATCCATAATACTCAGTAGAAAACCTAGCACTTAGAAACTTCTAATAAGTGTTTGTGATGGGCAACCTGAAATTCAGATTTTTTTCATACACAGTCTCTTTAACCTCTGTTTCATATACTATTTCCTATGTTTGGGAGACCACCAGACCGAGTGACATTTTATGTGTATCAGTCTTTTTTTGTGTAATAAGAGAAGTCATGAAGGAGATTTCCACATAGGTCATAGAGACTATGACCTCCAAGTAGAACAGAGTTGTGGACAGTATATATTAATGTGAGTGTTCGTGGCCTAGATGATTTACTAGAAAGAAAAGGCTGAAAGTATTGAAGCTGCTTGCAAAGCAGAATGTTTACTTTAAAGGCGCCTAGGCTGAGTGACATGTAACATGTTTTTGGTGTGGATTTACTGGATTGCAGTAGAAAATGGAATGTGTAGAAATGGAATGTAAGGAAATTATCGATGGAAAACAAATATCGATAACAGGTGTGGTAGGAAGACACTCTCTGTCCTAAGACAAGGCGGAACAGCCCAGCAACCCTACTTAGGGCTTCTCTAACTGAACACTCTCTCTGCAACAGAATCAAAGCCAGAGCTAGGCTCCTTTCCTCCTGCCTTCTGGCTTCCTCTCATCCACTCCTCAGCCAACATGTGCTTCAGATCTTCTCGGGCTTATGTGACTTTCATCCAAGGAATTCTGGCCAAGGGCATCAGGAGCACAAGTTTTCTGCTCAAAGCTGCTGGAGTGAAAACAGAAGGGCAAGAGAAAGAAGGTGGCTGTAGACCCCAGTGTGTGAAGACAGAGGAGAGAGAGACCTCAGGCACATTCCCCAGCCCACCCCGAAGGCAGTCAGCAAGTTCTAGAGAAGGCAGAATGGTGGAAACAGAGCCTAACTTAGCCCAAATGGTAAACACTGGGCAAACAGACAAAGGAGTGAAGGAATTAGAAACCCTGAGATCTAGAGCAGTCAGCTGTAGTGAGCATGAACTAGACTGTAGCCTGAAGTCAAACTTCATTACAAACCAGGTGACCCTCTCAGCGGAGAAGCCCTATGTTTGCAGGGAGTGTGGGCGAGGCTTTAAAGATAAGTCAAACCTCATCAGACACCATCGGACACACTCAATGGAGAAGCCTTATGCGTGCGGTGAGTGTGGCTGAGGCTTCAGCCTAATGGCAATCCTTATTAATCACCAGAGGAAACACTCAGGAGAGAAGCCATATGTGTGCAAGGACTGTGGGCAAGGCTTCAGCCAGAAGTGCAACCTCAACAGACACACAAGAACACATTCCGAACAGAAGCCTTATTTGTGCAGGGAGTGTGGCCAGAGCTTTAGAAATAATTCAGTCCTCCTTAGACATCGGTGGACTCACTCAGGGGAGAAGCCCTATATTTGTCAGGAGTGTGGGCAAGGCTTCGGTGAGAAATCATACTTCATCTGACACCACAGGACACACTCAGGGGAGAAACCTTACATGTGCCTGGAGTGTGGACGAGGATTTGGTGATAAGTCAACCCTGAGAAAACACCAGAGGATTCACTCAGGAGAGAAGCCCTATGTTTGTCAGGAGTGTGGGCCAGGTTTCAGCAAGAAGTCATCCTTTGTCAGACACCAGAGGACGTAGGAGAGAAACCTTACGTGTGCCTGCAGTGTGGACGAGGATTTGGTGATAAGTCAACCCTGAGAAAACACCAGGGGATTCACTCAGAGGAGAAGCCTTACGTGTGCAGTGAGTGTGGCCGAGGCTTTAGCCGGAAATCCTTTCTCCTCATTCATCAAGGGACGCACTCGGAGGTGAAGCATGTTTGCAGGGAGTGCACGCGAAGCTTTAGCTACAAGTCAAATGTCATTAGCTACCAGAGGATGCACTGAGAGGAGAAGCCTTGTGTATGCAGGGATCATGGGCAACACTTTAGCAATCAGTCAAACCTCATCTTACACCAGAGAGACACCTGGGGAGTAGTCCTGTGTGTGCGGAGTGAGTGAAGCTGAAGAGAGCGGATTGTAAGCTTGACAAGGTCCTTATAGTCTGTGAGGGCAACCAAGGGTTACCTCACCTCTGCAAACTCCTTCTGAGAAAAACAAAGTACGAATGTAGCCACAGGCAGGCAAACAAGCTGAAGGTCACGATAAGACATAGCTTGGGAAAAGTAGAAGAAACAATGTCGTTATGCCTGAGGGAAACTGTTTATGCCACCTAGTATGTTCTTGTATAAAAGCAGCTTACAAAATTGAACTGCGCCATTGTCCACCATCAGTGGGCGGTGGACCTCCTGATCCCAGTTTTCTGTCTTCTTTCTTTTCTTTATGTCCCACTGTTCCCACTCAGGTATATTTTCCAGAGCTGCGCTGGACGTGGCAGGATTTACCACTTGCTGGACGCGGCATGAAGCTTCAGAGATGTGTCAGCTCTTATCAGGCACTGAAGACACATTCAGGAGAGGATCCTTATGCATGCAGAGTATGGGTATCTCTGGCTGTAAGTCAACTCTCATTGCATAAGGAGGCCAAGGGTGGGAAGTATTGTGTGTTCAGGGTCTGTGCGTGAGTTGTTAGCTGTAAGTAAACATTTACCAAACATCCAGTGGCCAACTCTGGAGAAGTATCATGTGTTCTGGGAGTGTTAGGGGGCCTTGCAAAAGGACAAACAGGCAGGTATAAAGTGGCACACTCAGAAGGGAGCTGTGTGTTTGTAGGGAGTGTGGGCAAAGCTCTTGTGATCGGTCAGGCTTCTCACGCTGTAGGGAGAATCCTTATGTGTACTGTAGAGCTCTGCTCAGATAACCTTATCAGGACCAATACCCCTGCAGCTCCTGAAAACTGCTGCTAATGGCTACAGAGATGATTCTTCTCTAGGAGCTGCTCTCAACCACAGGGAACCGCACCTTCCTAAGGGGTGGCTCCTGACTAATGACTGATTGATATGGAGAGAAAAAACCTCACTCCTTGACTCGGTTGGGTCCAAAGAGTCATCCCAGATCCAGAGATGCCCATCAGACAATTATTTCTCAGCTGTAAACACACTGCAGGTATCTTCTTCCTCTGCTCAGTCCAGCCCTCAGTCTCCAAATAAACCACTCAATTCTCCGTGTCATTGTCTCTCCAGGGAATCTACTCTAAGACATCAGAAGTGTATAAGGACTATGGACACAGCTTTGGCCATATCACCCCTCACAAACCCCAGTGTATACAGAATAGAAGCTCTGTGTGGGCAGAATGGGCAAGGACTTAGAAAGAGTGCACCCCAGGATACAGCAGAGAACAGCTATATTGGGGAAGCTTTATATGGGCAGGGAGGGAGACTGAGACGCTTCAGCAATAGGTTACACCTCATCTTGCACCAGAGGACACTTAGGAAGAAGACATAGGTGGTCAGGGTTGGTGGGTGGAGCTTTATCCTAATGTCCCTCAACAGACCATGAGGACAGTCTTGCCACTACAGACCACTGCCTTACCTCTGAGGGGGTTTCAGAAGTCTTGACCAGTTCTCTATATGAGAGTGAAGATGGCACTAACAACTAAATAGACTTTTTTCTCCCACTTTTTGTAATCAGATGGAAAAGGTAGGTTTTAATTAAGTAATCAAAGAATGATCAACTTGTTTTATTTTTATACAATTCTTTTCCATGTTTTCTTGTCTTTTTCTAGTAAAATCTTTAATAAGTTCAAGCTATGTATGTTAGTCTCTCATCTGTCTGGAAAAGAATTTACATTCACAGCCCAATTTCCCGCATGAATTCAACCCTTGAGAAAAAAATAAGTCCCAAATAAATCTAATAGATTTACTGGAACCTGAGCCTATGCATAGAGAGGAGGATCTAGGTTATGGAGACAATTCCAGCTGAGGGGAGGGAACTTCCCAGGGCTCCAAGGGCTGGGTTGCCTCTTCTAATTGATCACTCCCTTTGGCTTCTGTGAAAGTGCCCTTCCCTGGATTTTCCTCCTCTTAATCTCTGTTCATGTCTCCGCTGAATCCTTCTCATCCTCATCAAAGCATCACTGTTCCTTAATGGTTTGTTCACATTCTGCAGTTCTGGGAACCCTTTCAGCACACTCCCTCTTCACCTTTCCAGAACCCAGGCTCAGGCCCTTCAATCATGCTCAAACCGTTCTCCAATCATGAATCAGTGCTTTGGGCTCCTTAGGTACTCATAGGTCTAAACACTCTAAAACACAGCTCCAGTGCCGTCTCCTGAGCCCTCCAGTCCTGCTAATGACACCCCACATCATCCCTCTACTGACTGGTCCAAGACAGCCTAGCCATACCCCAGCCATTGTTTATCAGCCCAAGGACCTGGCCCTTTGGCCACACCCTTTCCTAGTACTCCTCCCTCAGAGCCCAAATTGCCCAATTTGACAACTCTGTAGGCCCTGCTCTAACCTTCTATGTCTAGGGTCAATAACTTTTTGCTGGAGGAGGTCTGCCTAGGCTCTAGTAAATTTGTTTGCCCAGTTAAGGTTTTCAAGGTTCACAAAATCAGAAAAAGCACAGAGTAGTTTTGACACCCCATCAAAGGAAGGGGCAGTAAAAAAGTGTGAAGGAGTGACTGGCTCCAATGCTGACTGGCTCCAACGCTTCTACTCTCTCTCTCAGCCATGCAGTCAGCTGCCAGTGGGTCCTGAGTCAGGTCTGGAGAGGAAAAGGTGTCAGCACCCAGAGTGTGGGCCCCCACACTTTTGACACATGTTTCTTTGCCAAAACTATCTCTCTAACAACACTTTGGTCAGAAATGGAAGCCACAGAGGGAAAAATGTATATGGGTATGCAGTCTCTAGGGTTTGAAGAGATGACCCCAAGTCCCTTTCCCATGTCCTGATATTGGAAGAGAAAAATGCAAACAAGAAGATCAGCACCTTCCTTTTAAAAAAAAAAAAAAGGTATACCCGATTCAATATTCACTAATTTTAATCTAGAAGATGTTTTAGAGAATGGCCAAACACTCAACTGCCCTTTAATTAAAGAGAAGTTTGGAATAGGTTGAAACATGACCTTCTAGAATCCTAAAAAAAAATTCAGATTCCTAGAGTTCCATCCACCAGTGTTCTGAAGAGGATAAAAGCATTCCATTTCTGAGTGTTGGGGCAACAGTTGAGGACCGGAAAATCTCACAAAACCAGGTTACACACAGGGACAGCCTTTTCTCTCATCTGCTGCTGATATAGACAACAAGGACAGGTCCCAGATGACATCCTGCTCACTGGGCACAAAGGCAGAATTGGCTCTGCAGAACCCTCACTGCTGCTGGTCATCGATTCCCCTTTTACCAACTTCGTACTTCTTCTGGGAACTAGAAGGCTACTCTTTGGTGGGGAGGAAGAGAGCTTAGTGTTACGGATCTTAATGCTATTTACAGTAGTTTTTGTTTGAGCTGGCTCTCTCTTCAGTGTCTGTTTTAATAACTTAGAGTAAAAGCAGGGCCTGTGCCTTCCCCTATATCTAGAAAACACTGCCACTAAAAGAGGCTTACTTGTCTTTTGAGAGAGGAGCCCAACCTGCAAAAATCTTATCATTAATAATTTTGCAATTTCGGAAGTGTGTCTGACTAATGAAATTGTGAAAACATTTCAGAGA